GACCATATTCCTATTCACCCAATCACATCTTTCACTCTTTGAATACTTGCTATGAGTCAGAACCACCTATTGTGGTCTATACGATCACGTGAAGGCTGTGCGATAATTCATAGGTCACTTATGAGTCGGAACCACCTATTGTGGTCAAAGTTTTTGTGGAATTAGAATTATTTGTTCAATTAGGATATCATTATTTTCTGTTTCAAGTTAATTAGTCTTGTATCTTGTTGTATTATAAATATGACAAAGAAGGATATACATCAAGGGAAATCGAACTAATTAAATCCAAATGTTGGGAGGGGTGAAACTATGAAGGCTAAGGAGGGGGCTGGGAATCATCGGGGAGGGAGGTGGCTATGGGGTTTTTTCTTTCTTCAATTTTTATTTTTTATATTAATTAAGCTTTTAAGTCTAACTGTATAATAATAGAAGATGCGTCAAATTTGAAGTGGAAGTACTATGCGCTAATGTGGTTTACCTAATAATTGCTTCTCCTTCACAATCACGCATGGGTAAACGCCATACCAATAGTACAACTAATTAATACGGCCAACTCTTATTTATATCAATTATTTTTTAATTTGGGGATGCTACGCCATGCTCCGCCCCACCCACTGTGCCACCCATTGAATCGCCCCCTCGAAAGTCAGAACTGTATAAAAATATCGAAGAACCACACACCTTCAACTCTCGCCAGCCCTCTACAATTGAGGAAACATTCTTTGAATTAATTAGAATAGGCTTTTTAGCCTAACTCCTCACTTTGATTTCTGAGATTTGAAATCAATAGACTTGGTTATTGAGTTTGTTCACAATCAATCATTTTGGTTAGGCTTTTTAGCCAAAATGGTCCCTAAGATCTGCATAACACATCACTTTGGTTCCTAAGATTGATTTCTATTATTTTGGTTATTCCGTTAAAAATCTGCATAACACATCACTTTGGTTCAAGACAAAATTAACAAGTGGCATAAGTATACCAATTAATCGTGGTATGACTATATGTTAGTAACATGTGCTAGTGCATAATTCTATGTTGCCATAAATAGTGCGTGTTTGTCCATGTGGGAGAATTAATATATGTTGTGGACTTCACACTCATTAAAATTTTTTAGGCAATAAGCTAAACAACAGGTTGATCATCACGAATTTGGTATGGAAATATCATCACAAATTTGGTATGGAAATACTTCTTGCTGGTTCAAAATTTCTTATTATTGAAGAGCTTGTAAATCATTCTGATTAGTATCTTGACTAGTTAGTATACTTGATTAACTTGATGACTTACTAAGGGAAAAAAAAAGAAAAAAAAGAAGTCATTCTGACTGGTAACTAGTCATTAAATATGTTGTGGCTTCATACTCATTAAATGTTAGCGAATGTTGTTGGTAAATATGTTGTGGGCTTCATACTTATTTCAGTTGTAGAGATAAAACTTTATGTTAGTTTGCTTTTGTTTTATCTATGGTTTAAATGTTATTGATGAACAAGTATAGTGAAACATGGAATTGACAAGAAACTTGACCGGTCAATACATTTGGTTGATCTGATGATTGAGAAGAAAAGCTAGAGGCAAATATATTCTTCAATACGGCGAAAACATCTTTAATGTGTGCCTTGTGTTTTATGTTTTTATTAAGTAAATCGAATATAATTAATTTCTGTCCATACAGGACTCTGGAATTATATGCCCTTTGTTATATGTATAAAACAATTAGTGAAAGTCTTATGAATTTGTCAAATGTTTGATCAACAAACTGACTAGTCTGTTATGTATAATTTTTAGTTGCATGAATCATTTCTATGTAGTTCTCTTGTAGAGATAAAGTCAAAAAGTCGGTAAATTTTGTTGACCTCGCAAATTCTTTTGTTGTAAATCCCATAACAAAGCTTTATCAATGGGAGTAAAAGGAATTTATTTCATTTTAAACAGCATGTTTCGAGTATAGGACTGCAACCTTTTGTTGATTGGCATTGAATGTGGGAGCAAGGTGTTCAAGTTTATGTTCTGAATATTCAATTGTTGTTTCGATTCAATCTCATATTATTCACTTGTAACCAAAACAAGGTGAAGTTTCTGATGAGTTGTCTCACTAATGGTGTTGATCTTTGCAAAGTAATGATATGAAGTATGTCGTTTAACTTCATGGGACCAAAAGACATGTGGGAGCAATACTGGTACCGTTGTGCTTCCATCTTAAACCCTCCAGTTTGCAACTTTATAATTGATGAGATTGGTTTTGTGATTTTAGAGTACGAATGCAAAAAGCTTGTATCATGTTTTCTAAAGTTCGAACTAATGAATCATTATAGTTAGTTGAAAAGTCATGTTTTTCTAATTTCAGTCAGTGATCACCTTTATTTGTATGGAACATATTAGTGATAGCTTGATCATACTTATGTGAGAGAATGTAAGAATTTTCCATAAGGTGAGTGAGTAAGAACAATCTATCACTTAAAGATGTATATGTGGACATACAAATGAAAGGACTGACGTTGGAATTGGACTTAGTAATGTTTAAACCGGTATTGAACATTATGGAGGGAAAACCAAAGAACTCAATTGCGAAATAAGAGGCAATTACAACCTCTTGGAAGTGGATAAAAACTGCTACCATGATAGGAGGAGCAGTTACAATCCTATAATTAAAAGACATGTCTTGGCCTCTCTTCTCCATTTAACTTATTCAAAAAGCTTGTCCTATTGAGAGCAGAACTTTGTCGAAACTAAGAGAAGAGAAAGTCAGACTCTTCGTACATTAGTCATGCCTACATCTGCAAGTACAAACTAATATCATTTTGGGTAATTTCTGATTATATGTTCTGACTAGTAGAGCGTGGTTTAACGGCTTTATTGTTTTCGATAGTGCTCAATTATGGTTATGCTTATTATGCTTTCATAACACAATTAGTGTTAGAAAATGTTTTAATTTGATTTTAAAATTAATAAACCGTACGATTAGGTGGCCATCAAAGTGGACCGGGAAAAAGAGAATCAGGAAAGCAGGAAAGATTCAACCCAAAAAAAAAAAAGAGTAAAGAGGACGAAACCATCGCTTGTGGGGTCTCGCAGAGTACCAATTTTTCTTCTACAACCACATGTATGAATTCTTTTTAAAGAAAATTAATGAAAAAGATTTGAAAACTTTGAGTTTTAATGATAAAGATAAAATAAAAAATAAAATGAATAATACTAGAATTAATTTTTTAGTGTAAAAATATGGTTTTTCGTTAAAGTAAACAATACCGGTAGTTTTTCATTAAAGTTTCATTCTTTTTAATTTCTTCTGTATAATTTTGTTTCTTTTTATCAAAGAGGAAACAAGAGTATTGAAAATTGCTAATTGAGATGCTCTCTAAAGCTGAATGATTGAGAAATCTAGACCACTTATTTAAATTTTTACAGTCTTTATTAGCTCATGTTACTAGCTCATCTCATTAAAAATCAAAAGTTCGAATCTTTCTTTTTTAAACGACACAGATTTCTGAGTCCACTGGCAGAGAATCTTGATTCCATGTATACGGTCCCATGGTACCTACAAGAAACACTTTAATATTGATCATCTCTCCCTCTTTCTCTCTATTTTTATGCAATTGGAAAATTGGTGCATCGTACGCATGTGCACCTGTTATGTTTGACCATATTCCTATTCACCCAATCACATATTTCACTCTTTGAATACTTGCTTTGAGGCTAATTAATCACTATTCTTTAATCTCAACAAACCATATAATTAAGCAACAAATCTAGCAACTGGATTTACAATAATCAGTCCCTCGCGCAGCCAGAGGCACAAGCACTAACTATCCTTCAGATCGTCAGCTTGCTAAAGCTAATTAATTAATGCAACCTTCCTGGATTCGCGGGTCTATCAATATATAATTAAGAAATATGATTTGCATTTGCTAAGAAGATAGATTTTGGATCGTCTCTGTCATGAGCATCCGTATTCTAAGATTCTTTAAAGACGAATTTTGGATAGTCTTCATGCATAATATATTTTTTAAATCACAGTATGTTATGAACGATTTACATATTTTAAATGTATTTATATGCGTAAATTTACAACAAAAAAAAATCAAATATTTGAAGTAAATGAATAATCTTAGATCATGCTAGAAGAAACCTCTCTTAAACCAATTAAAGCAGATAAATTCACATAATAAAATCGATCTCTATAGAACATACATTAAGAATGGAAAAAATAATGTTTATTGCTAGAAGAAACTTCTTATAAACTAATTAAAATAGTTAAATTCACATAATAAAATCGATTTTTATAGAATTTACATTAAAAATAGAGAAACTAATATTGAATAAACAACAGATTGAATCACATTATTGTTAACTCATTGTGAGATTAAGTCCACCCCTTCTCCCTTAGTGCAGATAATATCGTTTGTTAAAAAAATAAAAAATAATCGTTTGACAACTAATTTAATCATATTATTATCCGCATGCGAAAAACTTTTTTAATAACGAGTATTACATGTCTTTTAAGATGTTTTTAACATGTTTAAAAATAAAGAAAATAATATTTAATGAACAACCTATTGAGTCACATTATTACTAGCCTATTGTAAGGTATTAATTAAAAAAAACTATTAAAAAAATTAATTATTAAAAAATATTTTTAAAATGAAGAAAATAATCATGTATTATTTGATATATTATATAAAGCTACTTTTGAAGCTTTTTTGTTTGAGTACATTTTTGTTCAAATATTTTTGTTGAAGCTTGTGAGTGTGACACTAAAAAATACCGTTAAATCGAATGAATTGAAAAAAAATTAATGACAAAAATGAAGGCACAAATGCCAAAACTCCACCCATTACAAAATAGGAAAACTAATAAAAAATGGTTAAAAGCTTTGAATATTAATGATAAGGACAAGATAAATGATGAAATGAATAGTACCAGTGTTGATTTTTTTTAATGTAAAAATCTGATTTTTCGTTAAAGTAAACAGTACCAAGGATTTTTCGTTAAAACTCTCTTGCAAAATTGCATCATCCATCAAATTGAATAAACAATCGCCGCAAACTCGACTTTTTCCAGCAAATTCAGCAACTAATACAACAAGCATCAAGAAAAAAAGTGTAATCAAATAAAAAAAAACAACAAAGATGCCTTGCAACTAGCTACCAAATCCATTTTCACCGCCAAAAATGAAGGCCCAGAAAGTACAGAATCACCTCCGGACCAATAATTTAATCAACCCCGAAACCAGAAAAACGAGCACATAGCCTCCACAGGGACCGATCTAGCCACCAAAATCCCCCTACAAAATTAAAAATTACACCATCTCAAGTTCTCAACTGATTGTCCTGAACTGAACAATCGCAGGCCGAAATAAATTAAAAAAAAAAAAAAAAACCCTAAAAATTGAAATCTTACTTTCTTGATCGAATTGGGGGAGGGAGTCTAGGGTTTTTCCCAAACGCGGACTTTGCGATATTGCTACTTGTTCTTCGTCCCTGTAATTGTTTTTGCGTTATTTTTTGTTTGTTGACCGAAGACCCCCAACCAGAACTAATCCCCCCAATTACAAAGTTCGGACCTGTCGCCGATTATCCAATCCGGTTTTTTGACAGGGGACGCGTCCGGGTTTTATTTCGCTGCACTCATGTGCACGTTTTGTGCCACGGCCGCATTTTGCCTCGGGTATATTCGTATGGTGTGGACTATCGCTCTGGTAAGGGGAGCCTAGCCCGCTCTGATCTTGCCACATCATCGTTCAAAATTAAAATAATTAATCCTGTGTATTTTAAGTAATTTGATTTTAAAAATAATAAACCGCAAAAATTAGGTGTCCATCAAAGTGGACCGGGAAAAAGCATGCACAAGAGAATCAGGAAAGAAGGAGGAATGAGCACGAAACCGTCGCCTGTTGGTCCCGCAGAGTACCAAGTTTTCTTCTACAAGCACATGTATGAATTTTTTTTATTTTCTTCTGTGTAATTTTGTTTATTTTTATCAAAGAGGAAAAAAGAATATTGAAAATTTCTAATTGAGATGCCCTCTGAAGCTCTTGTTGAAATGTTTCATATCATTCGTATTAATAAGAAAATAAGAGATTAATTATTCTAATTCTACTCCAACTAACACCAATGTCTTTTGTAATAAAATCTCACACCTGACGAACTGTGCAGGTGGTAATTACCAAGTTGGGGACAATATCGATGTTGTTGAAAGTGAGCCATATGGCCCATCTCTCTAATAATTCTACATAATATCAGAGCCACTTTAATATTAATCATCTCTCCCTCTTTCTCTCTATTTTTATGCAATTGGAAAATTGGTGCATCGTACGCATGTGCACCTGTTATGTTTGACCATATTCCTATTCACCCAATCACATCTTTCACTCTTTGAATACTTGCTTTGAGGCTAATTAATCACTATTCTTTAATCTCAACAAACCATATAATTAAGCAACAAATCTGGCAACTGGATTTACAATAATCGGTCCCTCGCGCAGCCAGAGGCACAAGCACTAACTATCCTTTCAGATCGTCAGCTTGCTAAAGCTAATTAATTAAGATCCAGGGAGGTTACATTCTTCCACATAAGTATGATCAAGCTATCACTAATACGTTCCATACAAATAAAGGTGATCACTGACTGACATTAGAAAAACATGACTTTTCAACTAACTATAATGATTCATTAGTTCGAACTTTAGAACACATGATACAAGCTTTTTGCATTCGTACTCTAAAATCACAAAACCAATCTCATCAATTATAAAGTTGCAAACTGGAGGGTTTAAGATGGAAGCACAACGGTACCAGTATTGCTCCCACATGTCTTTTGGTCCCATGAAGTTAAACGACATACTTCATATCATTACTTTGCAAAGATCAACACCATTAGTGAGACAACTCATCAGAAACTTCACCTTGTTTTGGTTACAAGTGAATAATACGAGATTGAATCGAAACAACAATTGAATATTCAGAACATAAACTTGAACACCTTGCTCCCACATTCAATGCCAATCAACAAAAGGTTGCAGTCCTATACTCGAAACATGCTGTTTAAAATGAAATAAATTCCTTTTACTCCCATTGATAAAGCTTTGTTATGGGATTTACAACAAAAGAATTTGCGAGCTCAACAAAATTTACTGACCTTTTGACTTTATCTCTACAAGAGAACTACATAGAAATGATTCATGGAACTAAAAATTATACATAACAGACTAGTCAGTTTGTTGATCAAACATTTGACAAATTCATAAGACTTTTCACTAATTGTTTTATACATATAACAAAAGGCATATAATTCCAGAGTCCTGTATGGACAGAAATTAATTATATTCGATTTACTTAATAAAAACATAAAACACAAGGCACACATTAAAGATGTTTTCCCCGTATTGAAGAATATATTTGCCTCTAGCTTTTCTTCTCAATCATCAGATCAACCAAATGTATTGACCGGTCAAGTTTCTTGTCAATTCCATGTTTCACTATACTTGTTCATCAATAACATTTAAACCATAGATAAAACAAAAGCAAACTAACATAAAGTTTTATCTCTACAACTGAAATAAGTATGAAGCCCACAACATATTTACCAACAACATTCGCTAACATTTAATGAGTATGAAGCCACAACATATTTAATGACTAGTTACCAGTCAGAATGACTTCTTTTTTTTCTTTTTTTTTTTCCCTTAGTAAGTCATCAAGTTAATCAAGTATACTAACTAGTCAAGATACTAATCAGAATGATTTACAAGCTCTTCAATAATAAGAAATTTTGAACCAGCAAGAAGTATTTCCATACCAAATTTGTGATGATATTTCCATACCAAATTCGTGATGATCAACCTGTTGTTTAGCTTATTGCCTAAAAAATTTTAATGAGTGTGAAGTCCACAACATATATTAATTCTCCCACATGGACAAACACGCACTATTTATGGCAACATAGAATTATGCACTAGCACATGTTACTAACATATAGTCATACCACGATTAATTGGTATACTTATGCCACTTGTTAATTTTGTCTTGAACCAAAGTGATGTGTTATGCAGATTTTTAACGGAATAACCAAAATAATAGAAATCAATCTTAGGAACCAAAGTGATGTGTTATGCAGATCTCAGAGACCATTTTGGCTAAAAAGCCTAACCAAAATGATTGATGGTGAACAAACTCAATAACCAAGTCTATTGATTTCAAATCTCAGAAATCAAAGTGAGGAGTTAGGCTAAAAAGCCTATTCTAATTAATTCAAAGAATGTTTCCTCAATTGTAGAGGGCTGGCGGGAGTTGAAGGTGTGTGGTTCTTCGATATTTTTATACAGTTGTGACTTGTGAGGGGGCGATTCAATGGATGGCACAGTGGGTGGGGCGGAGCATGGCGTAGCATCCCCAAATTAAAAAATAATTGATATAAATAAGAGTTGGCCGTATTAATTAGTTGTACTATTGGTATGGCGTTTACCCATGCGTGATTGTGAAGGAGAAGCAATTATTAGGTAAACCACATCAGCGCATAGTACTTCCACTTCAAATTTGACACATCTTCTATTATTATACAGTTAGACTTAAAAGCTTAATTAATATAAAAAATAAAAATTGAAGAAAGAAAAAACCCCATAGCCACCTCCCTCCCCGATGATTCCCAGCCCCCTCCTTAGCCTTCATAGTTTCACCCCTCCTAACATTTGGATTTAATTAGTTCGATTTCCCTTGATGTATATCCTTCTTTGTCATATTTATAATACAACAAGATACAAGACTAATTAACTTGAAACAGAAAATAATGATATCCTAATTGAACAAATAATTCTAATTCCACAAAAACTTTGACCACAATAGGTGGTTCCAACTCATAGGTGACCTGTGAATTATCGCACATCCTTCACGTGATCGTATAGACCACAATAGGTGGTTCTGACTCATAGGTGACCTGTGAATTATCGCACAGCCTTCACATGATCGTAGCACTTGAGCGTACATATTTATACCTAGCCTGTCATACAGGTCACACTAGGTAACTCCGACTCGTGTACTAGCCTAGATTGATAAGCTATAGGTCCGATCGTATAGGTCACGTTAGGTGACTCCAACTGGCATACTATTTTGTATCAGTTTCACACCTGGCTTACATTTACTATTGCTGAGATATTATGACATGGCACACTTCAGTTTTCGCTACTCTAGTGCATTGATTTGCATACCTACGTAATACGAGTTTTACGGAGAAGGGTTATTATGTTCATAAAAGATAAATATGTTTTCAAACGCTTTGTTTTTGCCCACTCACCCTTCTGTTTTGTGCCCCTCTAGGTTTTAGGTAGCTGTTCATCTTTGGTGGCTCACAAGGACTACTAGGCAATTCTGACGTTCTACTAAATAAAATTAGGGATCTTCTCCCTGTTTGTATAATGAGTACTTAGTTAGTTTGACTGCACTTTCATTTTACCTATGCTCTGATATGCGTGTATCTTATACTTGATCACTTTAACACACTTACATATTATCTCTAGTTAAACAAGTTTAGTTTTGGTTTTTATTTATTCATATTTTCTTATTATTATCACTTCTGTTGTGCATTTGGCTATGTCACTCTCACGTGACGGCTAGCACATCTCGACTCTGGTCGAGATGTGTCATGACTCGAGATGAGTGGTGGTAAAGCTTAATGCCTCTTCTAGTATATCCCCTCCGTGTACCCTCAGATGTGTAGCTTCATACAAGCTTAGTAGTCCCACGACATCATTCGTGAGTGATTCCTTAAATTTCGCATTGTTGACGTCCTTGAACTTGTTGAACATGTCTGCTTCAAAAACAATTAATTAATGCATGCATTACGTGCTTAATTAGAGGAAGAAATTTAATCCACACATAGCTATCGAACAAGCCATGAGCACTGAGAAGTTACCACATGAAATATTATAACCTTGTTGTCTAAGCAATCGAAAATAGAAAGCAGCAGCGTGAAGATCATCGTCATCACTTCGTTCAGTTCCATGGTGATAACAGTCCCTAATCTCATTTTCGAAATGGCGGGAGATGCCTAAGCACTTAATGGCATCAATCAATTCGAATTTTTACAAAGGATTACTAGGTATTGGAGCCATTATCATCCTCTTCACTTTCAGTTCTTGAACATGTTGCTCTTCTTCTATATTTATTTCCTGAAAAGACAAATTGCAAGGGAATTAGAAATAAAGAAAGAAAGGAAAAATGGAAACATATATTTCACAAACTATTAGTCTAAATGAATTTCCGTACGATAGAAGTATATGATAAGAAATGATGGCCCCAAATGGTGGGAGAGAAATTTGTTGAACGCGGATTAACATTATTAGTACTAGTTGTTAGGCTTACTATATAAAAACAAAGTGTGTAATCTTCATTCTTTCAGTTAATATAAATCATATTTCTCTCTCTAAACTCTCTTTCTAAGATCTCTGTGTTCATCCTTCTGTTCATTGTTCCTTCTTGATTTCCTCTTCAATTCCCAAACATTTCAATGTAGTTAACACCTTTTAGCCAAAATGTTCCTTGAGATTTGCCTAACTCCTCACCTTAGTCTCTGAGATTTGAAATCAATAGAAGTGGTCCCTGAGATTGTCCACCATCAATCATTTTGATCATTCGGTAAAAAATTATGTTAAACAAGGATACAAATAATAAAACTACCCTCAATATATTAAACAATAAGTCAAAATGATTTGACGAAAGTTAAGGGTATTTTTGTCATTGTATCCTTATTTTATGGAGATTTTTCACAGAATGACCAAAATGATTGATTGTGAACAAGCTTATGGACCGATTCTATCGATTTCAAATCTCAAGGACCAAAGTGAAGAGTTATACAAATTTTAGGAACCATTTTAGCTAAAAAGCCTATTCTAATTAATTTAGAGAATGTTTCCTCAATGGTAAAGGGTTGGCAGGAGTTGAAGGTGTGTGGTTCTTTGCTATTTATATACAATTACGACTTGCGAGGGGGCAGTTCAAGGGGTGGCCCGGTGGGTGAAGCGGAGCATGGTGTAGCATCCCCAAATTCAAATAATTGATATAAATAAGAGTTGGCCATATTAATTAGATGTACTATTGGTATGGCGTTTACCCATGAGTGATTATGAAGGAGGAGAAATTATTAGAGCAGTTCCACCCCTAAAAAAATATGCCAGCATCCAGCCCATTTAATTCACTCAGTGAATAGTGATAGACCCCAATGAACAGTAATAGGCCAAATGCATCTCCACCCCTAAAAAAATGTGCTGGCACAAAGTCTAAAAAATGCGCTGGCACAAACGATCTCCATCCCTATAAAATGCGCTGGCACCCAGCCCATTTAAAATATTTTAAATTTTTTTATAAAAGAATAAATAAATAAAATAGTTTTAATTTCGGATAGGATTTTTAACCAATTTCGTCATGTCACGTGTCACTATCCGAACATACTATTTTGTGAATAGAATTCTGCTAAGACTTTCAACTAATCCCAACGTGCCACATGTCACTATCTGTTTACAATAATTTAGTCAAGATTACGATAAGATTTTCAACCAATCTTGTTAAGCCACGTGTGGAATACGTATAAATAAATAAAAATATTGTCACATGATCCACTAAACTTGTCCCACTACGCAGATTACCGAAAGCATGAGAGATGGCGTTTTTACAACAAGTAAAGGATGCGTTGAGTTTTTTCTAACGACCTTGAAGACCTTGACTACTTCTGGCGTCTTTTCCATGTACAACACAAAACGCTTTCGTAATTTTACTCCACATTTCTCGCTTATCCATCTTATTACCCGTAGTCGGGTCATGAGTAGTGTGAACCCAACATTCACACAACGTAACATCTTTAATGAGCTTCCACGAAGTCATTTTTTTCTCTCAAAGTGTAGAAAATATTGAAATGTGGTGTAAGGTGGAAGATGAGGGTTACGTATTTATTTATTTTTTTTTTTTAAAAATTAAATTTTTTTATGTATTTTTTAACAATTTTTCATAATTTTTAATCAATTTTAATTTAGTTAATTAATCTGAATCGTTGGATTTGAAAAATATTCAAATCCAACAACCTATAAGTTGACACGTGCAATAGTCATAATTTTGACTGTTGTGCCTTTTTTTTTTTTTAATTTTTGGGGGAAAAACATGAACCGTTGATCTATGATTGAACAGTCCAGATCAAAATTCAAATTCAAATTTTTTTGACCGTTGGAAATCCAACGGCCTAGGACAGGCCACATGGCCTCCCCATCTGTTGGCTGAGTGTGCTGCGCATGCGAACCCTGCGTTTGAATTCTTGTTGGCGACATGCGCCCAATCTCGCATGCTTGGCACGTGCCTGGTGCAAAAAAAATTTCAGATTCCCTTTGACGCCACATTGGCATCAGATGGACCGGTCCATGGCTCTGTTGATTCTAGGCTGGCCTAGAGACCAGCTTGGGCTGGGTGCCAGCTTATCTGCTAGGTTGGAGTGGATTGGCTAGGTGCCGGCCTAAAGGTTCCCCGGTGGAACTGCTATTAGATAGACCAGATCAGCACATAATACTTCCACTTTAAATTTGACACATCTTCTATTATCATACATCTGGACTTAAAAGCTTAATTAATATAAAAAATAAAATTTAAAAGAAAATAAAAATTGAAGTGAGAAAAAACCCCATAACCACCTCCCCCCACCCCACGCCCCGGGGGATGATTCCCAGCCCCCTCCTTAGCCTTCATAGCTTCACCCCTCCTATGATGTTGCCACCAAGTTTCTTCTCCGCCGACTTCGAATCCACTACCCAGCCAACCTCTGCAACCACAAGCTCATTGGTGCTCGTTTCTTCTCCGCAAGATCCACTATTGGTAAGGTGAATGAAACCATGGAGTACCACTCCCCCACAGAGTACTTCTCCCGACATCTACTCTCCCATATGCCGATGGAGTCGTAGCTGGCATGGTTCCCAAGGCCCGGCGAGCCAGGTATAATATTTACAATTTTAGGTAACTCCTTTGTATGAAATTGTATAGACTTAAAAATAATGCATGAGGTTACATTTGTACCAAATTTTAAGAGTGCAAATTATAATATATCTTATAGTTAAAATTTTAGTTTGTCAATTAAAAAATATTTGAATTTTTAGTTTTGCATGCTAGCAGAATACTTGTAACAAGGTAAGCTATCACTCACAACTGGCCCGGGGGCCCTTGTTAATATCTCCATGATCTCTTCCCATTCCGCCAATAGCTGTAGTTAAGTTTGGCAGAGTAGCTCAGCAACAATTGCCGACGCGGCAGTCTTCTATTGGTTAGTATTCACCGCTTCGAACTTTCTCCTCTCCGCTTCCCAGTCTGGTACCCACCCATGCTACACCCAAACTTGAGTGTGCTAAGTATAATTTACCTTGGATTATATTAACAAAGGGAAAAAAATAATGGTATTTTAGTACAAGTACACGTGGTATGAAGAAAAGTGTGAAGGTTGAAATGAAAAAGTTGCTAGTATTTCTCTCTAACTTTTAGTTGTATACTAAGAATTCAACCCGCGCGATGTTGTGGCATCGACAATGAAGAAACATTTCACTACAAGTAACAAAAGTGAGAAAACTAAATAAACAGCAGCATGGACGTTTAGAAACAAAGTAGGAGTAGCAACCATAAATGAAGAATGTGCAATCAACATTGAAGGTGCATTATAGGAATTTGGATCTCATAACTAAAACACACGTTCTCCCTATCAAGAGTCAAGGCTAAGAAAGCAGCCATGCTTGAGTTAGTTCAAATTTCATTCATCATCAAACAAAGGAAAAAATTTCAGATTCCCTTCGACGCCACACTGGCATCAGATGGACCGGTCCATGACTCTGTTGATTCTGGGCTGGCCTAGAGACCAGCTTGGGCTGGGTGCCAGCTTATCTGCTGGGTTGAAGTGGATTGGCTAGGTGCCGGCCTAAAGGTTCCCCGGTGAAACTACTATTAGATAGACCAGATCAGCACATAGTACTTCCACTTCAAATTTAACACATCTTCTATTATCATACATCTGGACTTAAAAGCTCAATTAATATAAAAAATAAAATTTAAAAGAAAGTAAAAATTGAAGTGAGAAAAAACCCCATAACCACCTCCCCCCACCCGCCCCCGGTCCCCCGCGGGCGCCCCTTTGTGTGCCACTTTTTGCTCTTTCTCCACAGTAGAAGGACCATTCTGCCCTGATTGCCCACGCGTCCCTTATTGCTCCAGCTTCTGGTTTCATTTTTTTGACCCTCAGTGCTCCAGCACTGTTCACGAGCCACGCGTCCCGTCTGTTTCTATACGATGTCGACGCGTTGGTCCGGTTCCTGGAGTTCTACACCCTTCCTTCATTTTCGATCGCTGTCTCACAAAAGCTTTTCTTGCTCTGAAACCTGACCATTAGCATTTTTTGTTCTAAAACCTGGCATTTTCTGGATCTCCAATCTTGAGTTCTCTCTCACTTTCTTGCTAAAAACGACGAAACCAGCATTTTGTAGCTTTTTAATCCGATTAGCCAATTGGGTTTTGCTTGATTTGTATTTTCTTTTTATTTATAATTTAAAGGGTGATCTATACGATCACGAGAGTTTGGTGAAGGCGATCGAGCGAGTCGACGTGGTGTTCTCGACGGTGGGGCACGCGCAGTTGGCTGATCAGGCCACACATGCTATAGAACCTACCTGGGTGATGTGCTTTGTGGTAAGATTGCTTAAGGATGTTCCAAATAAGATTAAATTCCTGTTCATAATTTTGATATAAAGGTAAACAGCGAATTTCCTTTCGGTTTTCATTTCTTTCTCTCGAGGACCTCACCTTCTCTGTTTGCTTCCGCTGATCTTTTGTTTCCTGCACTGATTCCACTTCTTTTTCGCGACTTTCTACCCAACGCACTGTGTGCTTCCTGTTTGGTCTAAGTTCCTCTTCTTTTTCTGCAAGAAACAATCCCATTGCGATTAGATATTTTTTGGATAGGCGTTGGAGGCTGCAGTATGGGAGGTTTCTTATCATATGAGGGTCACCAATGATTGGTAAGTTCAGTTTTTTTGCCAATATCTTTATTGTTATCCCAGTTTTTGATCATTTTAAAGGCCCTGAATTGCTAATAGATTTACCCTCTTTTTTTTATGTCACAATTTTGGGTCGTTGGAGGAACAACTTGGTTGCTTGACCTTTTAAGGTATAAAGTTTGCTGTACTTTTGTTTTAGTTTCTTCAGTTAGATGTAATATCACCCATTTGAGTCAAAATTCTCTCCTGTAGCGGCTTTCATTGAAGAAACTGATTCCACAATGTTCGAATATGAGCTAAAGGTTGTTGGTTGAGATGTTAATAAGCTTTTCTAATATCAGGCTTTAGATTTTTGAATTCTGCTCGAACAAAACTAAAGTCTATTTCATTTGCTTGATTTAGTATAGTTTTTGTGAAAAGAAATTGAATTCTATGCTTGTTCTGTGGCTGCTTTCTTGCATTTAAAATTACTGTCATCTTAGGCAATAGAGTATTTATTTGGTATGAATTGCCTGTGATGGTGGATAAATCTTCGTGCAGGTCGATCTGGGGGAGCAGTATGTAGACAATCCTATGTTGTCCACTGTCATTTTCTTAGTCGAAGGTTTAAATCATTTATCTTTATTTAAGCTCTTCCTACGTATGCTATGTTAGCTGACATTACAGAAGATTCAATTAGCATGGGTGATTGTATTGTTAACATAATGGACCTCTTTAAATTTTTTTATTGTGTACTGACCAATTGCAGATAGACGGTTCTATGCTCACAGAATTTTCCTGCTCGGTTCTTCAGATACCTTCCGTGCAACATTTGATGGTGGTATGATTTTCTATTTCCCTTTGCAACAATTTCTTTTTGGTTTTTGGAGTACGTATGATTTATTTTTAATTAGAGAAGAAAAATTAATAAAACACAAGAAGCAATTGGAAACATGGCTGCAAGTGATAAGCTAGTCTTTTTTTCAATTAACTATATTACTTTTGTAGTATATATATGCATGCGCAGGAAAAATCCAAATCGTACTACAAGATCTTAGGGCTCTGTGTTTTGTGTCAAACCAATGCATTGAGAGAATATGAGCCGTTGTGTCTGGTTTGGATATGTGTCTATGGTGGTACCCCCATTTCAAGGCAATTGAGAGCGCTTGACTATGGTAACCCAATGGCTTTCTTTGTTGTTTTTCCTTAATGGGTTATCGATTCCTTGCTTTTTTTACTGAGTTTTTGACTATTGATATTTTGCATTTCTGAGCTTCAAGGCACAAAATGATTATTTGTTATTGGGTTGTTGGGTTGCTAAAGGCAAGCAAGACACATAAAAATGACCATTAGGAATGAAAAGTCACTTCTTTGGTGTATTTATACTTTTTTTAGTTGTATCAAGTGTTGATTTGCTGTGTGTTTTTTGTCGAAGTTATGCTTTGATGAGCTTAGATTCCTAAAAGGTTCGATACTAAAATGACATGAATAAGCATAATGAATGGTTCGAAAGATGCTATTAATGGTTTTGCAAGTATATCGTTAGTCGTTTGGTTGAATGATTTGCTTTTGTTTTTTCTTTCAAAACACTTTGCTCTTCATTTTTTGGGGCTGCAGCTTGCGAAGCCCTTTATGCTCATGGTAAACAATTTTGGATTTTTCCCTTCAGCCTTCCAACAAATTTTTTTATTTGAAAATTGTGAAAGTTGTGTTTTATATGCTATGAAAGTTGAATCTGTGATTTTTTTTTTTAATTCATGGTATATATTCTGTTATTTCATAGTTTTGGATGATGTTGGATTGAAAAGCTTTTCTATAAAAATTATAGTTATTTAAAGTGTTTTATCCGTTCTTACATTTGCTATATCTCTTACCAAAATACGCAAATTATTTTGTAAATTTGTTCTTATTCTAGCAAGAACAACAAATGCAGAAGGGAAACACATATATAATCAGTGTTATTCCAGCCAAAACCTTTATTCTCACAACATCAGGTACGATTGTTAAAGGTTTCAGTTCATTTTACCTAACTTGAAACAATTTACCATTAGCACAAACTTTTTTATATTTTAAACGTGATATTTCATGCATTTTCTCATGCATTTTCTAATCCCGCAGCAACGTGTGGGTAGTAGTTTCTAGTTTTTAATCTGAAAGCCTAGAGATCATAAGAAACCAAATGTTGAGCTAACAGTAATCTCGGACAGTAATTTGTAACAAAAATTTGACCATAAAAATGTAAAACCATCTCTCAATCAGTATGTTTCATCTTATATTGCAAGTGACCTGCTGCCATGGCTATAAATTCTTTAGGGGAAATCATTGTTCTACTAGAAAAATAGAAATGAAGAAAAGGTAAAGAAGAACATGAATACCTCAATTCTGAAAACAAAGAGGGAGCCATTTTTCAGCAAGCTCTTCCTGTCAGCAGGAACAACAAACTGAGAAAAACAAATCATGGATTCGCAATATAAAACTTCATGTATAAATTCAGGGGTGTGCGTGTAAAGCTCAACTGGGGTTTCATAAAAAAAATGTTATTAATCACATCTTAGGGTGCTGAATCACATCTCATGTATCTTTCCCAGTGAATTCAAAATGAAATCAGAATAATGGATTTAGTATAGAGAAGGCTAAATTGGATTAAGGATTAATGGTTCCCATGGTGAGAGGGTAATCGGAAGATAGCTCTTGTGGTGAAAAAATTTGGATTTAAACCCTCATGGTGAACTCCGTTAGGATTTAAGCTTAAAATTAACATCTTCCTCATCTGTTTGTTAACCTGTTCTACCTTCATAACCAAAAGAGAATAAAACTCATTCATCCAAGTCTATGAATTCGTTTAGCACAATGATACAAAACGAGAATGTCCAACTTATAACGATACAAATAGTTCGCCGGAGGATTACAGCCACTAGCTCGATTATCTATAGCAACTTAAAAGATTGACTGTTCAAATACAGTCCATTTACACAAGATTTCAAATCCCTGGGTTAAATATAATGAACAGTGTGGCCGATTAATTACTAATCACTAAGCAATTTGGAAAGCCCAGAAATCCTATATCCAATGTGATCAATGTTTTGAATTTCCTCAATGAATTATGTTGAACAATAAACAAAGCAAACAAAAGGGCAGATTCATTGAAATTCGAATTCATGTATTTTGAATAAGATCTCAAACTGTAAATCAGGAAGCAAGGAAGGAAGAGATGAGACGCACCGCATCGACGGAGGAGCTGTCAGCATCCATTTCGGGGCGGAGCTTGGCATAAAGTTGGGGGTTGCGGTAGACGGAGCGGGGGCAACAAATTCATAGCCTTGGATGCATGAGTTTTTTTCTCTTTTGGTTATGAAGGTTGAATGGGTTAATAGACAGATAAGGAAGATGTTAATTTTGGACTTAAATCCTAATGGAGTTCACCACGAGGGTTTAAATCCGAATTTTTTCACCACGGGGGCTATCTTCCGATTACCCTCTCACCACACGGGGACCATTAATCCATTTTCGCCTAAACAAATTGATGAAATTTTTTGAAGCTCCTATTGTTTCCCTCCACAATTGTGAAAAGGAAACAACACCGCCATATGTGCCACGATGTATAACCATACTTAAAAAGTTATTTCAAACACACTACTGTTTATATCTGCACAACTAATAGAGCCATTAAAAGAAAAAAGTCCATTAAAAGAAAAAAGCAACTATCTTATTTGATCCCCACTAACCTAGCAAGCCAAGTACATTTTAGACCATAGAACATAGAAGCGGCAGTCATATAGATTGAAATATAGATATTTTTGGACTAATATCTAAGTTCTTTTTTTTTAAATCAAATACGATTTCTTATTCGAATTGCCATATTCCACATGTATCTGACAACAGATAAGTTACAATAGAATGATAGCTATCATGCAAACCATTTGATCATACATATTTATAGAATTAGTCAATTGTGTGCATGTAAGTGAATGATATCGTATTTGATCTTAGGTGCAAAATTATACTGTACTGGAAGAAGTGTATTGTCTGCAATTTTGTTAAGATAAATAAAATAGTTTAATATTGGAACAATGCTTTTAGACCATGAACATTTAATGTGGAGAAATTGGAAGTTGAAATCAGTGGAAAACGACATGGGATAGAGAACAAAATTCAAACAATGTTGTGATCAAAGTTGGAACTCCGTTGAGAGTTCAACAAAAAGATCAGTTGAAAATGCACTAACAGACCAACTTAAAAGAAAATATAGTGTCAAATGATTGTGCTAGGAATAGAAAGAAGCAAACTTTATAGGGAAAGTGAAAATTGAATCCTTTAGCCATCACATTGACATGCTTGGAATGAACAGCATGCATAAACATGTTTACAAAACAAATGGAGAGTAATATCACCAAAATTATCTCCCTGTTATTTTGTATTGTGATAAGATTTATGCTAAACAGTGTTTTCACCAAAATTTAATAATAAAGACTACAGTAACATGAGAGAGAGGGTTGACTTCTACCCCAAAATCATAAAATTAGAAAGAAAATTAAAAAAAAAGAAAAAAAAAAAGGAATTTGATAACATTGTATCTTAAGAAACCCCCAAAATTTGTGGAATAATTGCTTAATGAAATACTCTTATCTTTCTAAAGTTCATTATCCAAAGAAGTCCATTTAAACTATTCCAACTGATTCCTTCTAATCATATAAAGACAACTCCTATTTTTGTAAGCTATTTCTGCGAGTATTTTATGATTCAAGAAGCAACTGTAAACACATAAAAACACAAAACAAAAAACCTAGACACCGTGTCAGTGTGTGTGGGTGTGCATGTTTCACCCATACCTTTTATCAAACAGGTGGCGTGTGGTGCTACTACGCAGGATTGAAGATTGAGTACCTGAAAATCAAGTCATCTTTAAGAAAGAAAACGAATAAAATATGACATGAATACTCAGGGACAGGCAATCAAACTGAGTTCAGTGAACCCGCCTAAAATTGGGCCGAGAATCCACCAGGAAACCCAAATGAAAAACAGAAAGAAGACCCAACTTTAATCTTAAGTAATGTATACGTTGGATTCTTCCATATTTATGAAAACAGAAAATATGATATGAAACAAACGTTCTTGCCTGTGGCTTTGAGGATGTTTGGGGTTAACTCAGGTTCTTGTGCCAAGGAAATAATTTGTCAAATTCAACCACAAATGAGGTTAAGATTATAGCTAATCCAATATACACTAAAAAAGATCTTAACAATGAAGAAATAATCCCAAAAATCATACTCAACCTGCATTGCAGAAATGAAAACTGTAGCTTATAAACATTCTCAATGTCCTCAGCAAGTCCTCTCTCCAATGGCTCTGCAATCTACAAAAGGTTTTTAGAAGATTGTAAACTGAATCAAATAAAATTTCTGAAATTAGGTAGCTTCTTACCATAGTTATTTTATTCTTTTTATTGGGTGTTTCAGCAAAACATTTGATTGACAAAGACTACACTGTTTCACAAAATGAAACAACAGGATCAACCTATAAACAAAAGCATATCCATCAAGAAAAGAAGAAAATAAAATTTTACTTTCTTAAGGGGTGGAAAAATTACTTTAAAAAGAAAAAACGTGAAGAGAGGATGAGGATTGGGAGCAAACAATTACCTTGCCTTCCACTTCCAAATAAAGCTCTCTTAGGTCCTTCATTATTCAGATGTAGCCTATAACACATTAATTTATGTTAAAAAAAACCTAAAAATTAAGCACCAAATCTTTCACTTCAATTTCCATAAAAATTAAACCCTTGAAACAAAAATTTATTGGGCTTTCTCTTGTGAGGAGGAGTTCAAATCTCACAGTTCTGCAAGACGGGGCATCGGTCGTAGATTCGATTGGTCCCGGATTTCACATTTGTTTTCTGCCCTTTGTAAAAATCACAGAGCAGCCACCCTCCCCCATTGCAATCCTCGCAGAGAATCGCCACGTTAGCCTTGGAAAAAACTGGAATCAAAGCACAGACACGTAAAAGAGCAATGCCATACCTGTGGAGCTCGAGCATGGAAAGGCTCTGGTTCCTTGCAAAACAACAGAAAAAACATTTACAAATCTAGCTTTACAGAGATGCACAACCAGTCGAAAAACGGATGCTGGAAACCAAATCCCCGAACAAATGAAAACCAAATTTACTCAGGAATCCGATAGTAGCGAGGTCTAGTTCTCTGGTCATCAGCTGAAATCGCCTTGTCGGAAAATCGGGCATCTGAACACATAAACAAAACAGCCAAAACTAGAATAAAAATAAAAATAAAAACCAAAATTTAAACATAAGTTGTATCTGCAGAGCAAACGCCACCCAAAAACAAAATACCCGAGGACTCGAGTTGAGTTTTGAAAGAGAAGTCGAGCTAGAATCCTAGGAGTCGTCGCCGGCCAATTGAATCATCAAAGATAAGGCAACGATGAGTGGGTATTTTAGAGAGAGAATCAAGCGACTGGATATTTCGATTTGCCGTTGGAGATTGGAATGGTCTTGATGAATTTTGGTTTCGGGAGAGCGGAACGACGCAGAAGAGTCGAATATATTTAATTTCTAGTTACTTTTTTTTTTATTTTTTATTTTTATAGTAAACAAAGAACGAGTCAAATATATTTAATTTAATGTTTAATGCATGGGTTCTATTAACAACCAATAGAATAAAAATTAAAACAAATTTTGATTATTTTTTAATAGTTAATGTAACTCTAGGCCGAATAAAATAATAAAACAAATATTTGACACATCTATTGGAAAATAAGAGAATTTAGCACTTGTATTCAATTTGCCATATCAGCCATTAAATAAAATTTTGACATACTATATTTGACATCTCCTTTGAAAATACTCTAAGGATCCTTGGATAAGTTATATTTGTAATAGGCGTAATACGGTTGGTATTACTTTTTAAATATGGGATTCAATTATTCATTACTCTTTTATGTGTCTAAATATGATTAGTGAGTATCACCACTAAGTATTGTCACGTGGTACTAGTGGACTCTAAGCTTGCAATGGATTCTAATGTTTGCATCTAATTAGTTCGATTTCCCTTGATGTATATCCTTCTTTGTCATATTTATAATGCAACAAGATACAAGACTAATTACCTTGAAACAGAAAATAATGATATCCTAATTGAACAAATAATTCTAAATCCACAAAAACTCTGAAACCTAAATATCGTTTTTCCTTCTAAAGACTACCTAATTAGGACTTAGGAGATCCAATGTACGTAATTCATAATTTACTTAATTTCATAACAATTCCCTTCTTCAACTCCTACTCCAACACTTTGGGAATTACACTACAGTGTTCTACAGAATTCAACGACAAGAGTATATATATTATCACAAAACGGAAATTTAAATTTATTTCACTTGTAGTATCAAAGAGAAAGCAAACAATTCAAACAAATATATTAAAACATGGTTTCAACGAAAGACCAGTACAAAGACTGGCTCATTCGTATTTTGTTGGCCAATGGTGATGCCTTATTATTGAATTTAGTAAAGAGAACAACTAGTCCAAATTGAAGGCCTAAAGAGGCACGGCTTCGACAAAGAATGAAATCACAATATCCTTGAGAAAGATTCCAGCATGAGTAAAGCCATCGTCATGTTTGTATATAACTTCAATCATTCGTGCAAAATTGACAATTCGTAGTATTAGCTGCATGAGGAAAATGGTAGGGCGGTGGCACGTTTCGTTTACGTCCTTCCATGCATTATTCACTTGCTTGCTTAGTTCGATTATTGCTTGTTCCTCTGTGGCATTATGTTCTTTCATGTAGCATTCCACAGATGAGGCAACATGCCCTCTCTTCTGCTCAAACTTCAAAAATTAAAAAAAACGAAAACATATCAAGGCTATATAGTAGTAGTAATGGTAGTAGTAGTAGTAGAACAAATCTAGCTAATAAAGAATCAACAAAAAACAATTTGGAGAATTATTTGATTCTGAACTTTAGTCGAATTGAAGTTTTCGCTACTGAACTAAAAATCTTTGAATATTGATCCTTGAACTTGCCACAGTGTGGAGCATTGATATTTTCGAGGATGGAAGTTCTAACAAAGCAACTCAAAAGAATCATTATTCCACACTGTTACAAGTTCATAGACCAGTACTCAGAAATTTTTTGTTCTAGGATCTATACTCTAATTTTCTCAATGAAAAGAATGGTAATACTACGTAGTAATGAATTTATATAATTAAGTACATACCTTGCGAGACTTCATATCATCCACGAGTCTACAAATTAATGATGTTGCCTTTACAATCTTAGGGTCACTAAACACCCAATCCAAGGAGTCTTTTGTAACAACGCTTCCCATTCCAACAAAGGATGTGGTTGCTAACATGGAGTAGGCTGTATTAAGTGCTTCTGACAAATATTCATCCATGGTTGGTGTGTAGTTATCATAGAACCATTTCGCTTCCTTGAAGTAAGATTTAACTTGGATTTTCATCTGAGAGACGACCAAGCGATGTACATATACGTAATAAAGCTTCAATTAATCATGCTTCTATAATTAATTTACTCATGTAATACAAATTCCTACATAACAGTAATTAGTATGATGGAAAAGACATTTGTCTGTGAGACGTACTGCTTCTCTCGCGTAGTGGATGCGATATGAGTTTCCCTCGTTTCCAAGCTTTTCCTCAATTTCAGCGTAGAGATCCAACAATGCTTGATAACAGACTTTCATGTACTGCTCAAGAAGATGAACCATAGCAGATATGTCCCACCTGATGATCCACGATGAAACATTTAAAATAAGCTAGTGAAACAATCCAAGAAGGCTATCATCCAAAAGTACTAACTGATGTTTGAATTTTCAGACGTCTTGCTTCTGTTAGAATCGCGTACTGTCGATGTTCAATGAAATAAAATAAAAAATTTAGCTAATCAACCACTGTTATTTTCAGACGTCTTGCTTCTTTGTCATACTTAGTACATATTCTTTTTTTTTTTATTATTATTAACAAACGATATTATCTACACTAAGGGAGATAGGGGTCGGCTTAGTCTCACAATGGGTTAGCAATAATGTAATTCAATTAATTGTTTATTAAATATTATTTTCTCTATTCTTAATGTAAATTCTATAGAGACCAATTTGTTATGTAGATTCAGCTGTTTTAATTGGTTTATGAGGGGTTTCTTCTAGCATGATCTAAGGTTATTCATTTACTTCAAATATTTAACTTTTCTTTTGGTAATTTACGCATATGAATACATTTAAAACGTGTAAATCATGTGTAGCACGCCGTGATTCAAAAACACATCCATAAAGGCTAGTAATAAAGGTAAAAGAGAGAAAAATCTCGAGTTTAGGAGAAGAAGACAATGTAGCAGGGAAATTGATGTTGCATTTTTGTGAGGTAAATTGCTTTTGCAAAGGTAGGGTGTGTGTGGTAAATAAGAATCATGTTTTTTTTTGGAAAAAAACATGTTCACAAACAATCACGCGACGTATCACGTTCAATAATATATTGTCGTTTTTTAAATTTTTCTTCGCAATGCATTATTAGATTACAACGTGTTGCTCTCTAAAATTTACATAGACTTGACACCACCATCACAATGATACAAAAGTTATATAGCCGTACTATAAAATTCTTACCAGCAAATCAAAAAGAAGAAATAGTTGTCACTTAGTACTACTGTGTAGTGACATTCTTTTTCAGTTGTAAGTTAGAAAGAATTGTTAACAAACGATATTCTTTTTCACTTAGTACATATTCTTTTTTTTATTATTAACAAACGATATTATCTACATTAAGGGAGAGGGGGTAGACTTAGTCTCACAATGGGCTAGTAATAATATGATTCAATCAATTGTTTATTAAATATTATTTTCTCCATTCTTAATGTAAATTCTCTAGAGACCAATTTTATTATGTAGATTTAGCTGCTTTAATTGGTTTATGAGACGTTTTCTAGTATGATCTAAAATTATTCATTTACTTCAAATATTTGAGTTTTCTTTTGTCAATTTATGCATATAAATACATTTAAAATGTGTAAGTCACGCGTAGCACGCCCACAAATGGAAAAGACAAAAACATTGATCTTATGTGGAGAGAGAGAAAGAGAGAGAGAGTTTTAGAAGGTAAAGGCACATATATATACTTCACTTTTTGGAAAATACAGTCAGAAACCATCTCCATGTTTTCATCATGTTTGTGTTTGTGCATAAAAAGTTAGATGCAGATCTCTCTGTTTGTGAGAGATCTCTCTCTCTCTATTTGTGAGAGTTTTTCTTTCTCACCTTTGTATGTGAGTGCCTCCAATCTTTACCGGTCCTCGTTGTCGCCGGCCCTAGCTGTGGCTAGGGTCAGTGGCAACACCATAGTTATCCTCTGTTTCTTTTTTCCTATTTTTTTTCCTGTTGTTTGCTTTCTTACCTTTCTTGTTTTTGCCCAGTTTTTCTTCTCTTGCCATCAACATCACTCTGTTGCTATGTGTTGAAGTTCCTTTCGAGTGCAAATATAAGGATAGTATAGCGGCACAAGTAAGGGTGTCGAACCACAGGGACTGAGAAACAACTTAGTAAAACCTTTTATTCTTGCAAATTAGCATTAGTTAAAGACTCCTATGACTTAAAATGAGGGGTTTGAGTAATTTTGGAAAAGAAATAAAAACAAAAAGAAAAGGGAAAAATTAGAACTATCTAAATACAAACCTAAGACATGGAATAGGTTAAAAACGTTTTTAGCACATAAATCTGACTTCAAATAAACAAAGGCCTTCCCCTAAACATTCCTAAATCAGTGATATGATCTTTTAACTTATCTCTTTCAAATGCACAACTAATATGTTCACATATCTAGCATGACATATAACTAGATTGTATGAATCCTCTCTTACTTTGCATGTTAGATGAATGGCATATACATAAAACTTATATTTGTAGGTGCAACCTAGCATGGCATATACTCAAATTTAGCACCTAGAAACTCATTAAAAACGAAGAGGATTATGAACATCACATGAACCCTAGAACATGACATTTATCCTAGAACTCCATGGAATCAATTTACATGATTAGTTCTGAACCTAACCATATGTTGCTAATGAATGAAAGAAGATATGGCAGTCATCTATATCATTCTCAACAAAAAGCAAACATAAACAAGGTAGCTAAGTTTGAAAATATGTGCTTGAAATGATTGAAATAGAAAACTGATTCTAGCTTGCAAATGAAATTGATAAACTAAAACTGCATCATAACATTAATTCAACCATGTCTAGGGCTTCAAAGCAGCCATAACTATCCATAAACTAAATTAAAAACATAACAAAATGCATAAAAATAAAATACATAAAAAGTTAGGAAAGCTAGAACGTAGAAACTGCTTAAGGCTGAAGACTCCTGCTCATTCCAGATTCTCCTCTCTGTGTTTTTGTTGAGTATTTGTCCCCTATTAAAAGGCTTAGGACTTATCTAACGTCTGACACATTTACATCCTTGAATTGACTCTCATTTATAGCTCATAACAACCAGCTTTTAGTATTGAAGAAACTGAAAACTAGCTGTTATCAGAATTTGTAACTGAACAGCTCCTCTTTATTCTGTTATAACTTATTGTCGAAACCTCCAAATCACAAGTTGTAAAGAACATCAGAAAGACGACTTCCAGGGCTTTCCAACCATAGATGACACATTTTCTAATTCGTTCTGAGCACTTCGGGGCAAAGCTCGCAAGTTGGCTGTTCTGCAAGGGCCTTTTCTGTGTGGATCTTGGGTCACTTGTTACAATATTCAAAATAAGATGATTTCTTCAAGCTTTTACTTTCATCCTGAAATACAATACAAACAATAAAATACCTTGTGATGCGTAGAGATTTTTGTTAATGCCACTAATTACTAGTGGCCTTCCAATTTGAGATTGGTGTCCTTTTATTTTGGGTGTCTTGTAAGCTGAGATTGACATAACACCACATTTTCCAACAGACCCCCATATCATATTCTTCAACGAGCTTTGCTACAATTTCAAAGATGTGTCATTTGCACCTTATGGCGAGTCACTACTAAAATTATAGCTATTTGCAATTAGTAACTATAGACATTAAGATAGCGCCACTAATTACTAGTGGCCTTCCAATTTGAGATTGATGTCCTTTTATTTTTGGTGTCTTTTAAGCTGAGATTGGCATAACACCACATTCCCCAACAGACCCCCATATCATATTCTTCAACAAGTTTTGCTACAATTTCAAAGATGTGTCATTTGCACCTTATGGCGAGTCACTACTAAAATTATAACTATTTGCAATTAGTGACTATAGACATTAAGATAGCACTCTTGGCTTTTTTTTGGTGTCTTTTTAAGTAATGACACTAATTACTAGTGGTCTTCCAATTTGAGATTGGTGTCTTTTTATTTTTGATGTCTTTTAAGCTGAGATTGGTGTCTTGCTTTTGTGTAAAAAGCTCTCTCTCCCCTTCACAAACGTCCAACACCTCCTTCGCTTCATTCTCTTTCTCCTCTCCCTTTTCTCTTCACGCAACAGCGCCGACAACGGGAGTCGAAGACAAACGACGGCGATGAGAACACTAATGACCATCAACTTGTACCTCCAAAATCCTCTTCCCGTCCTCTTTCCAACTCCTAAGTTAGTTTCATTATAACAACCCGTCCCAGGATTTACGGAAGAGAATGGGTATTTTTGTATTTTGACTAAGTTTGGGGGATACTTTCCTTTTTAAAATTGTTTTTGAGTCTTAAACGGTGTGCCCAAGGGGCCCACCCCCTGATTTTGTCCCCCTGAGCCTCTCATCTCTTTCTTCTTTCTCAGCTCTCTTTTCTTTCTTTTCCCCCGACCTCTCTCCCTCACCCATTCTCTCTGTCTGTCTCTCCCTCCCTCCGAGCAGAACACACCCACACACACACACACCAATAAACCCTCATCTCCCTTATCATCAAACACCACAACAATAGCAGCATCACCATCTTCACCATGTCAACTATCTCCCTCTCTTCGTCTCTGTGCTCACAAAGGAACTCCGGCGAGTTCCTCATCCTTCCATTTTGGGTAAGCCTCAAAACACTCTAAATGCTTCTCTCTTCATCCCTATAGCTCTTTTCTAACCCCGTGGTTGTGTTTTGGACGTCAAACCATGAAGAAACCACCTCGGAGACATTTCCCAGTTTTCCGGCGAGCACCGCCCCTTTCGAGACAATTTCCGGCCAAACCACGGTGAGTTGGCCAGCGTGCAAGGTATCAATCTCTTCTTCTCGCTGAGTACTACAACTTTCCTTTTTGTTTCACCCAATTTCATTGAGTATTGAAGAAGTTATACTCATTTGAATCTTACCCAGTTTTCGGCGGACACCCATGGCTTCCAGGCTGTTTTCCGGCCAACTTCGACCATGATGACGGGAACCAAGGGTATATTTCAATTCCTTACCTTCGGGGCTTCAATTTGGTATATTGAATGACATGTTTTGGTTGAGTTTTGAGCTCCATCGGAGCTTGGGAATTCGCCGGCCGAAAACCGGCCTTCTCCTTCCTTGGAATCCGGTGAACCACCAAACCCAAGGCCTTTGGGCCTTTCCTGCCAAGCCCAAAACCCTGGGCAGCCCAACCCAACCTTTTTTATTTTTTATTTTTGTTTTGTTAATTTAAAGGCCTTTGGGTCTTTCATTTAGGGCTTTCGGCCCGTTAACCCTAAACCTATTGGACCCAAACCCTTTAGGCCCAAACCCGGATCCAACCCAAGTCCAAACCCTTTAACCCAATCCGGATCCAAGCCCAGACTCGTTTGACCTGTTGACGGGGACCCGGACCTGGTCTGACCGTTGACCCGGTCAACGGTCAATGTTGACTTTGACCGGTCAACGGTCAACGTTGACTTTGACCGTTGACTTTTTGGGTTTTCGTGCGGGACCCCTCCTAGGCTAATTTTGACGTCCTGAACCCGTTTCCGATGTTCGTTTTCCCAAATTCAATCGTTTGAATAGAGTTTGACTAAATGTACCATTTATGTGCTTAGGGGCAATTATCTGTGGCGTTTCCTTCTTCGCTAGATGGCGTGGCTTTTCGACAGCGAAGTACTGTGAATGGACCCCTTATAAAAATGCATGTTTTGATAGTAGAAATGCATACATGAAAAGCATGATTTGATGATTATGTTTTATGAAACGTTTTACGAGATAACATGTTTACTGAGGCTAGTTTGAATTACTACTATTTTTCCTATAACCCATGTTCTTATAGAATATCTGATGAATGACGATATGATATTTAGAACATGTTTAGAACACCTCTTTATAGTATAGATGATTGATGACTTTATACTATGAAGTTCATTTTCAATATATGTATGTTAACTGGTTTTGTACTTACCTAGTGGTGCTTTCCGCTACGGGACGTAGGGATAGATCCGGTCCGTCCCGGGCGACGGTTTGGTGTTGGCATAGGGCCTGGAGTGTGTTTCCTCTGGCTATTTAGCACAAAGACGAGGAGCCGGCATGGGGCCTGAAGTGTATTTTCCTCTGATTGTCTGCTCAAAGACGGGAAGCCGGCGTGGGGCCTGAAGAGTTATCGGAGATTCACTAGTGTTTATTATTTATGCGATTTATGATTTGAGACATTGCACGACATGCTAGGTTTCGGAAAACCTATGTTTATCATTATATATATGTGTTTTCATAAAACCTGGGGGTTAGTATGTTGATAATTGTTTTATTATATATATATATCAACTTGGTCCACTCATGTTTGTTTTGCGTCCCCCTTCAGGACTTAGAATCGAGGCATACAATCCCGACGTCCAGGCACTTCCGCATCG